TGTTGACTTGGTAATGTGTGACTTGCGCAAGTATTGCGCTATTTTACCATTGTAGGAGGCGTCAGTATTTTAACCTGCCGGTTCGGTAATGTGTAGCATTCATAACTGGCGTAGATCGTCTCAGACGTCGGTATTTGAAACTGCAATTTTGGTAATGCGCGACTTACACAAGGATTACGTAGTTTTATCATATATATAGCGATAGCCCCGCGAACAGTCTTGTAGGTTGGCCTCCTTCCGCTGTTCATTCGGTTCCCGCAGTCCTGAAAAGTCGCATAGACCGAGGATTCGACACCCGCCTACAAATTTATGGCGTTCTGCAGTTTTCATAATTTTAACCAGCTAAAACATCTATATAGCGACCACAAATACCTTTTTTGGCCGAAAAATGAACCTACAGTACTGGAACTAGTTTTAAGCCAAGAACAAGATGGCGGCATATGTTTTTGGTTGACATTGGAAATTGTCGATTTTATCGACCCTGGTGGGAAATCTTATGTAATTTTGCTTCCAGTTAAGGTATTTAGAATAGTTAGACGTATCGACCTGTTTATTTTTAACTGCAAAGCTGAATGCCTCTTAAAGGTAGCAGAATAGTTTTTTGGACACTTTTCACATTTTTTTTTTAAAATCACATGAATAGCTCCCTAAGGCATGCTACATACATTGGTGTTTTTATTTTATTGAAAAAAAAATATCTTGTACAAGTAAACTAATTTTTTTCTTGTGTGCAAACAAATGGCCAAGTTTTTGTTTATCCAGTGTACACCCAACTAGTGCATTTCATTAATATGCATGGTTTACAAACATAACTGAACTGAGGGTAAATAGTTTTAAGTTGGGTCACTTTCTTTATTTGCTATTTACAAACAACTGATAAGATATCTGTTTGTAGTTTACACACAGCTGATAAGATGTGCGCACTGCTGCCTTTCTAGACAGCATGGAGGTAGAAAAGAGAAGGAGTGAGGACGCTATTTAAGCCCATGTTAATCTTATAAACATCCTTTGTCTTCGCTCTGGTTAAGCCACTTATTGTTTTTGTTTAGAAGTCGTTTTATCTACATGATGATAGCCGCTTATTTACACAAGAAAACGAGAGTAGAACTGAAAAAAATAAATTCTGTTTAAACATCGTCTATAAAATTGAATGCGCAAACCATAAATAAAAGAATTGTGCATGCGCAATGACCTTTATCGGATCACAAAGGTCATTTCACACTTGTAGGTACCGGAAATTCTGCATACGGACGCCACCAAGATGTGTGATTACTTCTTTTCTGATATTTTTCATCGCAATAGTCGTCCAACTTTGGACATTGATTAAAAAAATCCCGCAAATTTCCTCAGTGAAATTTAAATATACATGATAAGATTATAAC